AAAAATATCAGCCCACAAACAGAACAACACTTTCAATATGGAAAGGCTGCCATTCTCTTAACTAAATTTTTTGTTTATTAAACTGATTTATTGCTTACTTTATGTAACACAAGGGAATTCTTCATGAATCCTCTTCATTAGAGGTACAACTTTTCAAAATAGATTTTGAAAACAAAAAATACTTTATCCTGTAACAAAACTCTAATTTAAATTGCTGATGCATAAATCCTTTGTCCGTCACAAAGGAACATCAGCATTCGAAGGGCCTGGTGCTAACTGCCCAGTTGCTTTGTAAGTCCTGCAGCAGCCACTGGCCACAGATCTCGGATTGGATGAACTTGGTAATTCAGACAGTAATCCATGCTAGAGAGAATAATGTGAGCTATGCAGCAAAAGCCACATGGTTTCTGAATATTTTGAACATTCTTTTTAGAGTAAACTGCCTATTAAAATAAGACTGAATAAGTAAGCTTTTTTATTATTATTTTTTGGTACTTCCTGCCTTCTTACCATGATGGTGAGATATCAGAAATAAATTCAGAAACAAATTTCAAAATCTTGTATAATCCATACCAAATTAATTGCAGTGTATTACACAGGCATACCTCAGAAATATTGCCAGTTCAGTCTCAGACCGCAGCAATAGAACAAATACTGTAATAAAGGGACTCAAATGAATTTTTTGATTTCTCAGTACATATAAAAGTTATTTTTATACTATACTGTAGTCTATTAAGCATGCAATAGTATTACATCTAAAAACAATGTACACAAAGAAATACTTTATTGCTAAAAAATGCTAACCATCATCTGAGCCTTCTGGAACTTGTAATCACTGGTCACAGATGACCGTAACAAATAAAATAAAGAAAAAATATATAATAATGAAAAAACATAATATATAAGGAAAAAATTCAATAATGAAAAAATCGTCCTATTGCAAAAATTATCAAAACATGACACAGAGACACTAAGTAGATGTTATTGGAAAGTGGCCCTGTGATAAACTTGCACAGGTTGCCACAAACCTTCAATCTGTAAGAAATACAGTAAAGCAAAGCACAGTATGAGTTGTGGCAGTTCCTCATGTTACAGCTGTAAGATTTTAACGTGTTGTGGCCCTGTGACACTCCAGGATGCTAAATTGCTTCCGAAAGATGAAATTGTGTTTGGAAGAGTTTGGCTTAGAAATGCTATTTTTCTTTACTGTATCAAAAGAAAAAGTGGGGAAATGGCCAGTTTGACAAGGGAAGTCAGTGGGAAAACAATCATGTAACAGAAAACCATTTAATCACAGATGATACTTCAAAAGCAAGAGTACCTTAAGTATTGAGATACTTAATCAGCAAATTCAGAATTTTAGTACTATCGTGGGTTTAGCCTTATGAACGAATATTTAGTACTTGTAAGAGAACACTCTTTAGTGCTCCATTTCTAAACACTATTTAGTGTCCATTTCTCCTCGGAAGTCTTCTCTGTCCCAATCTTCCCCATGCCTAGGAAAAACCTCCTCAACCTGTTAGGTTCTCAGCTGGGACATGGAAATTGGTGATTAGATGGTCTCTTGTCCAAGATGCAGTACTGGCTTGCACCTGCCTCCCCACTATTAGGTTTGCTTGAGATACAGGCACATCCTCTCCTTAACCCAGGCAGGCACCATCGATGCCTGCCATTCCGATGTGTCCCCACCCTCTAGACAAGTAACGCCTCGGCAGTCCTGGGTCCCTAGCATTTCTTCCCCAGCTAACTTACACACACCCCCAGCTCAAGACCGCAGAAATGCTGAGGGGCCAACCCCTGCCACATGAGGACCGCAGGAACCTTTCCCTGCCTGGAAAACCATGTTGCCATTCCCACTCTTGCCCCACCCCCATGCTAGTGCAGCGGACAGAGGACTTCTCTGAGTCTTGCACATACACCGTGGTCCAGGAAGGGCAGCTCTTACATTCCGAAGAGATTCCATTATCAGCCCCTCACAAAGATGGGGGCCTTGTCCAGGGGCACTCCAGGGGTCGGCGCCCTGACCGTACTTCGCATCTCCTGCCTGGATCACTTCACTCCCCAGCTGGGAGGCTCTGGGTCGACTCTGAGGACAGGAGAAATTTTTCTGCCCATTCTCATCCTCTTTCAGGTATATGCCTCTTTTACCTGCAGCTGCTCCCTAGCCTTCAGCTAAATGCTGGCTGCTTTGTTCTCTTTTTATCCTGACAACACCTCACTGGGCCAGATACTGGCAGAGCTCTTTCCAGGAAGGGAAACAGCAGGGAGAAGGTACAGCATTTACTATCTTGGATTTTTGCCCCATCACACACAAATGGAGGAGATCCTTTTCTTAATTTCAGTTATACATGACGTCTTATATGAGGTCTGCCCACTCTGGGCAAGCTGTTCTCAATACCTGATTGAAATACCCCATGGCTCCACTGACGGTTCTTGTAGGGTCTTTAATTCAGGGGTTTAGTGGAGTGCCAAGTGGGTTATTGGAAGACTGATGCAGTAACTGAATATTAGACCAAGGTTAATTGGCGCATTTCTAAGGGATTGTATTGACTAAGTGCAGAAGTGTGTAATTTACACTGCTCTGAGAGGTGGATGAGGAAAGTGCTCCAGCACACAAACTCTAGAGAATTGCTCCCTGGGTTTAAGACCTTGTCGAGCATCTGCAGGCTGCAGGCACCTGGCTACGCCTCCCTTTCTCCAGTATGAACTGGGAGTAACAGTAGTGCCTACTGCACAGGATTGAGATGAGGATTAAGTGAGTTAACACGGGTAACAAAATTAGAGCAGTGCCTGGCATTTGGTTTAAGTATTCGGTTTGTTTGGGCTGAGATTATTTGGAGAACTCACAACTCTCCTGAAGTCCTCACTAGAAAAGTATCTCACCTGTAGCACTCGGAGTCATGTCTCTGTGCTGTTTTCTCCTGAACCAAATCTTCCTCCTCCTCCATCTCTTCTTTGTCACCTTCCCCCCGACTTCCTGCTCCTCTTCCTTCTTCGCCTTTTGAATCATCTGCTCTTCAGCTCATGGGCCATTCTGAATGGCATCCTGGTCCATGCCTGATTCGCCCTTTCCTTCTACACTGGCAAGCTCAGGAACCGACGCTCTCATTGTTCACAAAAAGTTAAGGTTCCATCCAAAGATTTCCACCTCAGCCTCTACTTAGGGAACATTTTCCTCTCTTATTCATCTATTTTTATGCCAGTGATACTCCTACTTTGGTTTTTCTTACAAAGCTCTTGGCAGCTCATACACCTCTGAAACACCACAGATGGGTCTGTGCTTCCCAGGCAAGTCCCTTCTCTTCTGGAAAATCTGTGAGCCTTGTGCTTCTTTGTTGAGCACACCTGTAAAACATCCCCTGTCTCCCAGACACCTTTGTCTGTATCATGTCTTTCTCTCTGTCAACCTCAGCACTGTCTTTTACCCCTTCCTGGGTTTTGCATAGGTTACACATGTGGGTTATACATGACCTACTCCAAGGCTGGTTGGCTGCTGCATAGAAAACATCACTATCGTGTATATTTGCACATCAAGAAAACCTGTGGAAACTTGCTACATCTTTCAGTGAAGTGTAATTTATTCTGAGTTGTCTTCTACTGAGCTAACATCAGGAACTTTCCATGCACATATAAACACACACAACTAAAAGTTCAAAATAAAAGTTACTTCTGTGTATAATTATCAAGTCTGTTGTCCAGTTATCCTTTTCACTTAGGGAGAACGTGTATCAGTGTTAAACCATTTTATCATACTGAAAGGAGTATCTACAACTCATACACATTTCTGACCATACACTGACATTTTTTATTACTCTTCAATCAGTTCCCAGGAAAGCTAAAGGACTCTCATTATTTTCCATACACCAAATCATCTTTCCATCCAACATGAAAGGGATGTAATAGCTGGATCTCTAAGAAAGAAAAATGAAGTGCCTTCCCTTCTTGGCCCATTTGATATTTGGCCAAGTTCTCCTCTGCTGATATTCAGAAGGATGGAGGGGAGAGCAAGGCAGTGTCTGGGAGACTAAGCACCAAAGATGAGGTGAGAGAGAATGAGATGATGGCAGAGGAGGAAATATTGTCAGCCTCATAAAAAGAAGCAGATTGGGGCAACAGGACCAATGATCAGGGGCACAGGTGACCCTGTGTGCAGATTATTTAACATCTTTGTGTCTATATTTCCTCATCTATAAAATAAGAATACTAATGCCGACCTTCCAAGAGCTTGAGGGACTAGAAGAGCTCACCATGTATAAACCAGCCTCCCGAGCCAGGAGTGAGGCAGTGCTGCAAAAGCAGTCATCCTTAGGGCTTACACTTCAGCCTGCAAGACTTACCAAGAACATTCCCTGTAGTCTCATAAAAGGTCTAGAAATTTCTCCCCAGTGTTAACATTTATTTATATTTGACAATGTTAAAAATCTATATTCATTCACAATATGTAAGCATTCCCACATCTAATTTCCATTCCCTTCATTTTCCTAGCTTCCTTTTTTAGTTTCAGGGAAGAACCCAACAATGAATGGGACTGCATATACTCAGGTTCAGTCTTTTCTGGGCTAGGCTCTGGAGACCTGAAGGTTCACAAAAGAGGAGGTAGATGAAAAATCCTGTCTCAGCATGTCAAATTGCAAATGAAACTTCCGATGGATGTGAGAGGTTTCGTACCATGTTCACGAAGTGCCATCTTCTCTCAGGACTGCCCCATCCAGACATCCAAGTTCAGTAATCGGCTTCCACATCTTGAGGTTTTTCCATGTCTAAGACCTTGTGCCCATCCTTTCCTGCAGGGCTACAGAATACTTCATTGCAGTCAAGGGATGCTTTTGTGAGTTCCATCTCCTTCCCCAGCCCCTCAGGCTTCCTAGAGCTTGCGGCACGGAGTGGGGGCAGGAGAAAAGCATACAGTGTGAGTTGATGGTGATGAGAAACTATGTGACTGTGATTCTAACATAGGACAGGATGAAGTTGTGTGTTTTTTAATCTCATATTTCATGCAGGGCTGGGCTGAGGATGTGGCAGGCATGGCGTATGCCCTACGTTCACTGCCAGAGGGGGCTCCCTGCCTGCCACAGGTGAGAGCCAGCTCTGGGGTGCCTGCCCCAGTGGGGAATGGGGATGGAGGGGCCTGGCGGGGGAGGGGTGGGGACTTTGCACCACCTTGGCTGGTCCCCAGGAGGACTCTGCCGCAGAACCCAAGACTTCATATAGTGAATGTCATTTTCTTATATTGTAAATGAAATTGTGACAGATTAAACGCTTATATTGGTTGATTTTTATAGTAAATGCTTTTTGCTGGAACACTGTACAACAGTGTATAAAGTGTATGGTTGACCCTTGAACAACACAGGGATTAGGGGCACTGACCCCTCATGCAGTCAAAAGTCTGCCCATAACTTTTGATTCCCCAAAAAACTTTATACTAATAGTGTACTGTGGGCTAGAAGCCTTACCATGATAACATAAAGTCAACACATATTTTATACATATATTATAAACTGTATTCTTAATAAAGTAAGCTAAAGAAAAGAAAATGTTTTTCTAATTTGCCACACATTTCCGAAAGTTTTCCAATATACTTATTGAAAAAAATCTGCCTATGAGTGAACCCACACAGTTCAAACCCATGTTGTTCAAAGCTAAACTTATACACAAATGTCTGGGAATTCTAGGTCTGCCTGCATTCCCTTAAATGGCTACAAATGTTTAATTATTCTAATATTGCAAGTATATTTCAGTAATAGATGTGTTCCATTAAAGCCAACAGTTGCCAACTCAAAACAAATTGTTTGTCTTACTTTATAAATTACACATTGAATTATGGCCCTAGACCTAATACATTTTGATCTATTTCTTAAGTTTTACAATTTTCACTCTCATTTTCTATGTCACACATCTCCTCACTCCTACTTTTTGGACTCATTTACTCTATTTTGCAGCAAACAATTTATTGAAAGTATGTTCAGTAATTTATCTCTATGTGAACACCTCCAAACTCATTTCTTTTTTTAAAAAAATCACCCACACTCAACCTTTTACCATTTTCTACTTTTTCCAGAGTTTTTTTTTTTTACTGCTCAGAAGCACCCATAGCCAGCCCTTCCTGTCCCAAACCACTGTATTGTAAAACATCAAATAAATGGCTTTCCAACTCAAGGACTGAAAACACTGGCACCAGAGAAACAAATGCAGTTAACTTATTAACCCTGAAACCTTTATTGTATGTTGAGTTGAGCAAAAAGTATATATAAAGTTAAAACACTGAAATGCATGTCTAACACATCCAACCCATTCTACAATTAGGTCTTGAAAATCCAACCTTCCTGCTTCTGTAAGTGGCAGTCTGAAGACCCACACGGGCTCTTGGCCCATAAGGTTTTCCATGTTGGCATCTAACACCTTTTCCTTCCCTCTCTTTGCAGTGGTCAGTATATATCCGGGCTGCTGTCCGAAAAGAGAAAGGCCTACCCATCCTTGTGGAACTGCTTCGGATAGATAACGACCGTGTGGTGTGCGCGGTGGCCACAGCTCTCCGGAACATGGCCTTGGACGTCAGAAACAAGGAGCTCATAGGTACGTTCTCTCCAATTCCTAGTATCTCAGTTTTTAAGTGAAAATATTTCCTAGTGGGGTGCATGCAATTGAATCCATTTGCTGAACATAGGCACGTACAGAAACAGTCCATTTATTAGAGGCCATGGTTTTTCCAACTTTCCTTCTTGTTTAAAGCCAATGCACTGATTTATCTTTTAGAGTTTAGAGGAAAATGTGATGTTTGTTGACATTTCTAATCCTTGCAAATTAAAAACTACCACAGTGCTCAGCACTGGACACCGTACTCTTTATACTTTAAATCTCTGTCAGGCTTTTTGTTTGCTTTCCATGTGGTGAACTGGAATTCTAAAGGGATACATGCCTCTTCTCTTCCCCTATTTCAAAATTCATTTTGGATTAGACCATAGTGGTTCTTTTAATCCTATTTTTTAAAGAATCATCTCCCGTGGGAAGATGCTCATGGCAAGGCTGATGTCTGTAGGACTTGTGAACCATGAACACGTGCCCAGGGAAGAGACACAAACCCCTTCACAAGCCATCATCTTATTTGTAGGCATCTGGGATGGACGAGGTGTTTCTGATAGGGTTGTTGGTCATTGTAGCTTAATGCGCAGCAAGGCTGCCTGCAGGTAACAGGTGCCAGTGGAGTGTAGGCAGCCCAAAGCTGCACTACCTGCCATGCCAGAGGCTGAGTTAGCAACCTCTGCGGGAAAGCAGGTGAGAGTGGGCAAAGGAGCAAGATTGCATTCCTGAAATGCCAGGTGTGGGTCCGAATTTTGTACTCAAATTTTCCACGATACATAGGTCTGTTTCTGCTGAGCCCTTTGTGATCTGAAAACCGGCCCCTTTTCCTCCTGCCATTTCACAACACTCTTCCTATCCTTCAGTGAAAACTACAGCATTTGCAAGTCTCCAGCCATTTATTTACTCACAAGGAAACTAGTCTTCAAATCTGTGTCAAATAAATGCAATTATTTGTTAAGCTCATAGTACATTATAGGGCATGAAAGAAACTCGATTTGGGATGTAAACTTAGTTTGAATTTAAGTGTTCTCTGTGGATTTTGTATATTTAAAATAGGTCATTAACTCAAAAGGTTAGGATACCCTCTCCATATCCCCTTGCCTTTCCCTTACAAAGCTCTTTCAGATAGTCCAGAACCAGGGCTTGTGATAAAATCCTATTGTTCCTCTAGAAGACTGAAGAAAAATCAATAGCTAATCAGTCTACCGCCTGGATGCTAACTACTAGGTATTGTGTGTTTGTGTGTTTTATTCCTTGGTGGATTAAAATATAACAAAATAGGGAACTATTGATTGGTTTTTCTAGCTTCTGGCATCTCGTCTTTCTTAGAAGTCAGCTATCTAGTACTCTCTCAGAAGCAGGAACATTTGGAGCTCCATATTGCCCATGTTAAATTAAGCCTTTACTATCAAATGTTACCAGACAGGAAAGAGAGCCAGTCATTAAAAATATAAATGAAAATATCTAAGTCACAGCCTTTATGGAATCAGTAACTTTTTCTTGAACGAGAAAAGCAGACTTAAACCAAAAAACACACACTCTATTCTAAGAGAAAGGAAATGTGACCTTTGCTCTTTTACTCTAAATATTGTGTCAAAGTAGTGATTTTCATAGGAAAATGCTATACAGAATTTTATATTATTGAAAAGAAAGCTTCACTGGCTATCAGCCAAGAACAGAAAGAAAAATTGAACTTTTCTATCAACTCTCAGCAAATCTTTGGTGACCTTATGTGGCTTCATGGTGTTAAAAGATCATCTGTCTTCTGACAACCCTCAAATGTGTATCTCTGGTGGGAATCCTGCATCTCTGTGTCCAAGTCTGTCATCTCCAATGGATGCCCAACAGGCATCTCAAATATGACATCTCCAGACTAATGTCCTTATTTCTCCCAAAACTCAGTCCTTTCACAGAAAATGGCAATTTGTCCTTGTCGTGGTCTAGGGTAGGCACCTTGAAGGCCCCTTTGGTTCTTTAACCCTTGCATCCACACCATCAACAAATCTGGTCTTTCTTCCAAATTTTCCCAGAACCTGACGCCTGTCATCTGCATTGCTTTGCCCGCAATTCCCATGCTTTCTCACCTGGCTTATTACTGTGGTTGCCTACCTGGTCTCCCTCTTCCAAACCTGCCCCATAGTCCACTATGGCAGCAGCCAGGGTGGTCCTGTTCAGACCTCAGGACTTCTAGTTTCTCCACTGTGACCACCTCTCACCTCTCTCAGTATAAAATGAAGTCTTTGCAAGGCAGAAACAGCTCTACATGATCCAGCTCTCTGGTCCCTCTCCAAACTCACCTTCCCACTCACCGTGACTAATTTTGTTTCCCAATAGAATCCTTTCTGGCCATCATTCTTAATGCTTATTTATCTTGCCTTAATCTGTCTCCCCCTACCCCCCAACCCCACTGGAATGTAAGCCCCCTAATGGCAGGAAATGCTGTCTTGTTTGCTCGCCCATTTAACCCACATACCTGGAAGAGTACCCCTATTCATAGCAGGGACTTAATAAATATTTGCTGAATAAATGAGAGAGATCATTTTTTTCCTGTCTGGCTGTCATATTGAAATGAACTTTGAATCAGCAAAACCAGCAAATTAAATATAATATTAACTAAAGAAAAGCATTTTATATTAATAGAAAAAATATTTTTTAAAAAAGTTCATTTTCCTCCTAAAATTTACTAGATGCGTACAGACACTCACAATGTTTCAGAAGGAATCCAGAATCTTCCATCGCTTGTTCTGGGGTTTCCGTTTAAATCACACCTCTACTTAGGTCACTGTTTTGGTGAGAGGTTGGAGGGGGAGCTGCTGTGAACTGCGCCCTGCTCTGGCTGAGGAATGGTTCATCGTCCTTGGGCCCCATTGGGAAAACTCCCAATAAGCTACTGAAAAGTACTCATCCTGATGTCCATTGAGGGTCATCTGAAAGGACTCCCTGAACTCTGCCTCTCCTGTGTCTTCCCATTTGGGTCTCATGTGTCTGTCTATGTCTCTGCCATTGGGCAATAAGTATGCTGCCGAGAGATCTTTGTTCCTCTGATTCACATGTGACAGTGGTCCAAGTTAATGCACATCCATACATATCTTCGCAGCCTTCCAACAATGTTAATGATCCTTCTGGTTTAAAGTGTTATTTTATCATTCAGAGAAAGGTTTTTAAAAAGAATGGTAATAATTAGCTTCTGTAAAAAGAGCAAGTGATACTGTATCACTTTAACAAGTTTAACAAAATGCCATCCATTCTCACGCGTTGACAGGTCCTAATTAAGATGGCACATATTTATTTTATCCAAATCCCACCCTTTCTGCCAACAAACAAAACTCAAAAAAAAAAAACCTTAAAGCATGTATAAACATTAAACAAAAGAGGTATCTAGCACTTTGCAAGCATTGTTCATTAACCCATTGCTACCCATCCATGTAAAATAATCCTAAAGAGAGCAGTGTCATCAGATGTACTACTTTCTTTTGCTACATTTTCAGAAGCATAGAAAATCAAGGTAGTGTCAAAACAGTTACTAAGTGTAACATGGGTACCGCAAGTAAGCTTCCCACCACACAAGGCTACCTGTTCTTTGAATACCTTGGGGTCACATTCAAGGCCCTGCCTGTGCTCAAACCAAACTGCCTCTTATTTCTAACTGCTCTTTCTCATTAATAATTTAGCCATACCAGTTTTGTACCATCGTTCCCACTTACCACACCTTTACCCAAGCTGTGTTTCCCATGGCGTGCTTTTCATCACTATACACTTAATGGAACTCCCAACTATCATTCAAAGCCCAGGTCGGGGTGGTCTTCCTGATGTAGTTACTCCTTGAACTCAGAGTGGAGGTGATAGTATCTCCTTGATAAGAAACTCTTGGTCTATCTTAGATTTCCCTTGTGTAATTTTATTCTTGTGTTATCTTTTATCTTCTGTGTGTACACATTGCATCTTCTCCAATGAGATAATAAGCAAGGGGCAGGTACCATATTTACCTGCATGCCCTACAGTGCCTAGCACTTTGATTTGCTGACCCGATTCACTGATGGATGAGTAACATGGGTTATTTATTCTGAAGAACATATCTTGAGGTGGTTTAGGGAATCCCAAATAGAGGAAGGAGTAGAGGGGTGTCAGTTTTAACCCCTTTGTATAGCATACAGAGAGTAGAAGAAAGGCAGTTTAGATGCTCCCTGCAATCTAGGCTCTAGTCAAACTCCAGCTCCTTCTGCTGCCTCCTGCATAGAAGTTTGAGATTAGGTAGGAAATAGAAATGCTCTCTGCATGGGCTTGGTCTCTGCCAAAGGTTCATGTGGGAGCTGCCGCGCCCCTGTGGGTAGTGTTGCTGAGCTAACAAAGCACCCTCCCGTCACTTCCCTGGGTGGCGACTGCTTGCCACACTTCTTAGCAGGCAAGCCAGGGCTAGGATGGCTCCCTGGCAGCCCTCCCTAGACGGAGGAGAAGGACCTTTCCCTCCCACGAGAAGCTGGCCCTTCCTCAGCTTGCCGCAGCCCTTTCTCTCATCCCATCTGCGTGGCATGACTCTCCCTGAACTGTTGTCATTTGGATGGTTGGGTCACCACATTTGCAATGATCTGTAAGCATCTTTCTTTGAGGCCTCCACACATTCATATTATACAATCCATTCTTCATCCAGATAACCTTCCACTAGCTGAGCTTCCTCCAGGTGACACCCTCTCAATCCCTTTCAGCCTCAAAGGGAGCCCCAGACAGAACCTCACTCTCTGGAGTGAGGAAAGGGCCATCCTAGGGGAGTATGCTGGCTCCCAAACCGGGTATCCCTGAGAAGAGACAGAAGAGAAAGAGTCCCAAATCCCCAGGTGTCCCTGGCAGAGCACATCTCATATTTTCCCACACTAATGAAATCATGAACAAAATAAGGGTGGTTTCTTGCCTGGAAATTAATTACTATTTAAGCTGTAAATCCGTAACTATTCCTGTCCCCTCACAGGGTTTTCAGATCACTTCATTCATTCTGGGGA